CTATAAAGTTAGTCATTGATTTCTGCTTGCAAAACAAATGTTTTCTTCATTCTGTTTAAGATGCTTAAAATAAAAAATGCTCAATTTGAAGTGCCCCATAGTTGTTAAATGAAAAACTGTGACCAAACTGCGGTTATAGAAGTCAAGGAGTTTGGAATACAGGGAATTTTTTCCCATTCTCTTTAATTTTTCAAAATTTACATTATACATAATCATATGCACAATTTAGACTTGCAGCCATTTTTAGAAACTGTAATTTTTGATTCAAAAGAAATCTGCAATCTTGCAAAAATAAGACTCGGTTTAACAGTGTGTTTCCAAAGAAACTGTAGCTGCCTCGCCTCTCAGACAAGAGCTTCCTGATGGAATCTCTTAATATTCCATGCACAAAGGGGGAAAAGAAAGCAGAATACTCCATAGGCCCATATAGTGTTGCCGTGCAGAACACAATACCTGGAAAAGGAAGTAATCAGGTCTCATTCTTTCTGAACACCAGCCACTTACTCTAGTGTGTACAGCCTCTGATGAGTGGTGGCCCCTAGAAAAACGATTTTTTGGCAATGATTTTTATTAATTTTAAGTTTTTATTAGAAGTATTAGAAGAATCAAAGATTAAAAATAAAACAATGTATAAATACACACACTTTGCTTTTAACCATTTGCTCTCATGACATTGGAGGTTCTAAAATATCACAATTATTAGAGGAAGAAGAATAAACTGTTGTTGCTTTAACATGAATCTCTTTGTGGAGTTCTAGCTACTAACCCTTAGAGAATGACAGCCTATTATTTTCCACATGCACCATCTCTATCTACAAAACTGGATGGACAACTAATTATAACCTTTTACAAATGAATACAACAGGAAGATTTTGCTGAACCTTTTTTAAGACTCTGGAGTGGGCCCACTGAATGACTTAAGGTTTTACCATTGTGTGTATAATTGTTAGTGTGTGTTAGAGTTCAGCCCCCCAGTGTTGTGTAAATTGTAACATAGGGTTATGATTGTGTCCTTGTGTTATATTAACTTCCTATTTTCTGTGGATATTTCATAAGATTCTACATTTTTATTCTGATAGATGTTATAGTAAATTTTCTTAAGGTTTGCTTCAATATTGTTGGGAAGATATAGAAGGGGATAATTAAGTGAAGGCCAATGAAAATGAACATTAACAAAGCATAATGATTTATTGTATTATCTTTTTATGTTCCCTGTAGATCATAACTGTTATAAATAATTGTATCAGCAATTTTTATGTGTCATGTTCCTCCCAGTTCCTGCTCTGCTTGCTCTCTCCCTATCTTCTATTTACTCTATCCTTGAGTCATTAGACAACATTTACCTTTATTGCAAGAAAGCATTCAAACTTTGTACAAACAGAAATGCAGTTTTCAATAAATGAGATTTTCTCATAAGACAAATGTCATTCTCCACCAGTATGTTTTAGGTGACTCTTAAGGCATCAGTTTCCTTTTAAGAGTACAGGAGTTCTGAGCAGTCACAGAAAAGAAGCCGCGAGAATTGCACCCAGGTAGAGGTAATGCAGGATTATGATAGAAATGAAACATTTGATATTTCTTGAAATGTAAAGTGAAGGTTATAATTTACTGTAATAGCACATTGCTGAGGAAATTGATAGCACTATAATTATAATTTCTTATGTTTATTTTGGGGGATTTTATCACGCTTTGCATTACTCCTTGCAGCTGCTTCTCTTGGCATAGGTGTATATCAACGTTTTTGCAAGTATCATTTCTAAACTTTTTTATAAAGGGTTACAGCTTGCTAGGAGGACAGTGATTTAGTTTGGTTGACTATGTTTTTTGCACAGGCACCTGTTACATTTGATATTTAAGTCATGATTCCTTGTTATTACATTTTATTAGGCATTCACTTCCCACTGAGATACAAAGGACCCTGAGTGCTAATGCTATTCTGTAGAGCCCAGGTACATGTCCATGCTTAGGCTGATTCATTATCTCATCTTGATGGAAGAGTCTAGAGGTTTTCATTTTACTACATTTGTTTTGTTAATATATTGCTATAGCGACAAGATTTAGTTTTCAAATTGGAATGTAGTAGGAGAAAGTCAGAAATGTATGGAATGACTGGGTAACATGTCTATGGAGCACAGCTTATGTGAAGTCTGACTGAGAGCATTTCTTTTATTTTAATAATAATTTCTTAGCATATACTCACTGTGCATGGTACTGGATTATATGGATATTTTCATGCAAGTTCATAATGTACTCTCAGATTTCCACCCTGTAAACCAGTTTATGATCAGTCTATTCTCATCCATAATCCTTCCATGTAGTCCCTTCTGTCTAGATAGCTCCTGTCCACTGCTCATGCTTTATACAGGCATGTGATTTATGGCCCTATGTAAATTCTTAGATGCAGTGATGATGGAGAACACATGCGATGTTTGTCTTTATAAGTGTTTCATCGTTTGCCTAATTTGACTTAGGTCATTTCCATTTTCCTGTGATTGCTTTAGTTTCATTCCTTATGACTGAAATTTTCCATTGTGTAAATATATACTAGCTATGTATCTGACAGAGGATTAATATTTAAAGTATAAAACTAAATAGCATGATATCTAACAAGCCAATGGGTGAGCTGGAAAACAAAATGAAAAGTGTTCATGTAAGATGAAATACAAATGGTCAGTATACACAATGTGATTTTTTAATGAAAAAAATGTGATTTTAGCATTTGAAAACTCTCAAAACTAGACCTGATATGAAACACTAACATAAAAACTGAAAACTTTGTTATGTAAAATCCAAACACGCATTGACTAGTTCACTGTGCAACTCAGCATGTACATAAAAGTGAGAAATAACACTAAAAATTTAGAAACATCACTAAAATAAACACCATTTATAAAAAAATGTTCTATACTATTTAAATATCAACTTCAAAAATTTATACAGGTAAATTTTACAAAATGCATTTTCAAAAATGATGATGTTTTAAATTACTAACATGACTAATTTGTTGAAGCACCCGTTTTGGCAGCCTTTGGAAACTGAGCTATGAAAGCAACTAATGAAACTTAGAACTAATGAGGAACTCATTTAGACAGAGAAAATTGGTGCCTGCACAGAAAAGTAAACAAGGCCGTAAAACAATTACTAGAAAATTTTGAATTCTGTCACCATAATATTGATACACAATGATTTTCATTTTTACAACCTAAAGGAAATACATATGTGCATGGATGAAAACCTCACAGAGCTATTCAAAGCATGGGACCAGAACTTTATTTCCTGACTCTTGGGATCTTCTTCCAAGATATCAATGCCTATGCTTTCTTACTTTTCTTTAAAATCACAATAACTTGTCTATCCACAATATCTGTCTATATCTATCTCTACACACTGGATAGGTAATCATGCCTCCATGAAATGATGTATACTGCATACAGTGATTTGTGATTAAAATAACTGTGATCCCAGGTCAACTATATTTTATTAATCATTAGGTCAAATTGTAATATAGATATTACATATATTTTATAATATAATAAATACACACTCAGGGGGTCTCATGATTTCCTGATTAATTTATATCTTCTTTTTGTTATTATTACCATTTCACATTTTTATTACTAAAACTGCTGACTTAAACAGGAGTTAGCTTCATGTATGTTTACTTCAAGTTGTTCTGCTGTGTCTGAGGTTCAAGGGATAGGATGACAGTAGCGCCACGTTCCTGTATAATGTGTCAACAATAGCAAAGGAGACAGATGAGGGGGCAGGCCGGATGCTTGTGAATGATTCAGTGGAGAAGATTCAAACAGGGAGATCTATTCCTAATGGTAGTTAAATGTTCATGCCATTGACAACTATAACTATTTTGTGAAAAATTGTTTATTTGACAACTCAAATATAGGGGACAACCTAATTCTCCACATATCCCCCTTTCATCTATAATAAAGTAAGAATGAGAAATATGAAGATATCCATATATTTCTAGAGGGATATGAATCACTGAGGTAAGTTTAAATTTCATGAGGAATTTCTGTAAATATTTTATAATGACTGATTTTATGATTGGAAATATTTTTGTGAAGAGATGATGTCACATCAGAAGTGATTTGCAAACTTAGGGCAAATATGCCAAAGGAAGAAACAGACTCTCTCTCCCTCTCTCTCTCTCTGTCTCTCTCTCTCCTTCTCCCTCTCTCCCTCTCCCTCCCTCTCTCTCTCTCTCTCTCTCTGTCTCTGTCTCTCTGTCTCTGTCTCTGTCTCTCTGTCTCTGTTTCTCTCTTTCTCTTTCTCCCTTTCTCTCTCTCCCTCTCCCCCTCTCTCTGTTTCTCTCTCTCTCTCTCTCACTCTCTCTCTTTTATGCTCTCGCTCTCTTTCTCTCTTACTTTTCTTCCTACTCTATCTCCTTATTCAAACCTAAAAGTATTAAAAGTGTTGCAACATTGCCTAATTTGACATACTGGCCTTAGGCTGTGCCTCACCACCTGTGACAGATTTACATATACCAACCATCATTTCTCAGTTCTTAGCAAGCTTCACTTCTGTCACGGCTAAGGAGAGAATGTGTGCGTGTGTCTTTGGGGATCGATCCCATGAGAGAATGGCTGGTCTCTTGTATGTGGGTCTATGGGCTGTGATGATAATGGTGCCCTCAAGACTTCACCGTCTTCAGGGTAGTCATACATCTGTCTCTTGATATCTCATTATCTGCCCGGTGGGAGCTTTACAGCCAAGAACCAGAGAGCGCGATCAAGGGGTTCACTAATCATATAGACCAAATGAAGACTGGCAGTCTTGGCTGAAGTTACCCAAACATGTTACGTTTGCCATGGTAGAAAGTTTCTCTTATCACATTCTACTACCAAATCCCTTGTTTTTGTATCACTAATTTGTGGTGCATAAATTGTCTACTGTTTAAAACCTATGGATACTAGATTGCTAAAAACACATAGAAAAGCCTCAGAAATAATTCCCAGTCACAGTTATAACAGGGTCCAATCCTACCCGAGTTTCTCCCTTCTTCTACACGACATTGTGATCCATCATGTGACTCCATCTGGCCTGTACTTGGTCTTTTTTTGCTGTCGTCTTGAGTTCTGCCTATTGGTCTGCAAGACACATTCAATAAGCAGTAGTGCCAGTTTGTCACAGAACTGTGAGGAATGGTTGAGGCTTTCACTTTAACTGTAGAATTCATTCATTACACATCATAGTCTAAATCACTCCACCTAATTAATTTTTCCCTTAGTAAAAATGTAGTAGTGGTCAAAATCCCCCAGATTAGACGTGAGAACCCAGGGTCAGCCCTTAGCCTATAATAGTTCACTGCCTAAAGTGGTTTTCGAGTGCCCGAGGATTATCTTTATCCGCTTGAATGTTTTCTGCCTAGAAAATTAACAGCTGAGTGCATTTTGAGTAAAATACTAAAGGAAATGGCTGATAAAAGTATCAGAGTTGTATATCTGCTGAAGGCGATACATATCTGCTCTTTCTCAAACCTCAGTTAAGCTGTCATCCTTGCCCTTATCACAGGAATGATTATCTCACAGTGCCTTATCGCCAGACTCTTTCCTGACCAGACAGAAAGAATCCCTGGAAGGAGTCATGTGTCTCATTTGTCTTAAGGGGGTTGTTCTCTTGTGACAAATCACTCGTTCTTGCTGTTAATAGTCAACACACAGTGAGCAGACTGACTGTGAGGGGTCACACTCTCTGAAAAGCAGTATGGGATTTCAAATTACTGTAGCCAAATGAACCAAATGACAAGAAATTGATGGTAAATGTCCACCTAATGGCCCGCTTACTCCTGGATTTCTGAATCTGCTAGGTGATAAACTGTGACTAATGTAATTGTTGAAATCACTTGATTGTGCCAGAAAAGAGTGTCTGTCTCAGTAGCCAGTGTGGGGAGAGGGCAAGGTTTGGTTACAGATGGGAGACAGAATGTTCTACATAACTGGAGCTGAAAAGGGCACTTCCGGGAGGACTGAACAAGCATCTGAGGATGCTCAGTGGAACAATGCTTACAGCACAGTTGGGAGAACCTGGATTCAGATCTCCAGCACCCATTCGAAAAAGTGTGGGCTTGAGAGCACTTTGTTGAGATGTCAAGGGTGCAGTTTCCCCATTATGACTAGAAGATACCGTCTAGCAACAGATGGGAAAGTCCTCTGTATCTTACAATCTTTCTGTCCCCTTTTCAGTGATATTCCCTGAGTCTTAGATATAGAGGTTTCATTGAAGATGTAGCAATCTGGACATCACATCCCATGTTCACAGACACTTATCTTCTGTATTTTGATAGGCTGTGGATCTCTGAAAATCCTGCATAATGACAGAACCAGTTGGCAGATATTGTAGATGGGAATTTTTACATGGTCCCACTCTAAATGAAAAGAGGTGGGCAATCATTGACGGCTGAGAGAATCAGTTTTCTCTAGGGATAGGCTTCCTGAGAGGCTATCCAATTCCAAGTGGTCATTCCTAAATTGACCTACTTCTAGATAGACTCAGTACGGTGTGAATGTGTATGTTTGTGTGTGTGTGTGCGTGCGCGCGTGCGTGGATGCGTGTGTGTGTGTGTGTGTGTGTGTGTGTGTGTGTGTGTGTGTGTGGTCTTGGGGAAGAGAGAAGGATGGAAATGTAAATTTAGTAGTAATGTACCTCTTGGAGAAATAAAAAAATATATTAACTTTTTATAAAGTCTGACACGTCAGATGCATCTGTAGTCCCAGCTGGGGAGGCAGACACAGGAAGATCTGTGGGACATACTGCTGACCAGCTTACACTAACTTATAAGTTACAGGCCTGTGAGAGATATGGTCCCCCAAATAAATAGTAAATTAATTCATTAACTAATGAGGAATGTGACAGAACAATATATACAATGTTGACTTCTGACCTCCACATGCACTCACATCCATATGTACACAGAGATGTACACACACACACACACACACACACACACACACACACACACATGCACAGTAACACACACACAAATAATTGTATGATAAATCAGAGAATGTCAATGTTAACAGAAGGAAAAATGAAATGAATAAGCAAGCAGAAATACAATTTGATATTTGGCTTATGTGAACTGCAAATTTCCTACATGCCCTTCTTCTGGGCTTACTGAATGACTTTTTTGCATGTTTTCCTATTAACAATTTTAAGATCAGTTTTGGATATCAAATGAATACTTAAATTCACAGGAAGATCCAGGAATTTTCATTATCGTGTTATTTTTTTTTGTTTTTCTATTTTATGTATTACTATTTAATTATATTTCTTGCTAAGTGAAAAAATAAGATTTCAAATAAATACAATAATAAATAAAGTAACTCATTTCATATTTATACACCAACTGTAGGAGCAATAGGCATTTATGGATCTTGCATAGTGTGTCAATCATCATCTCTGTTAATAATGCTAAAGTTATTTTATGTCATAGACTACAGTGAAGAGTAATCAATGATCCAGAACAACCCCTGAGAGTCTTCTTGATTTTTATTTTTGCAAGTGCAAATTATCTGGCTATTTTATTTAATCCAAATTTTATGTTTTCTGTCCCCATATTTTATGAAATACCTAGCCTCTCCTGAATTTCCATTACTAAAGCAATAATTTAATATATTCTGGCATAGGAAAAGAAAGACTACTGATATATAAATGATATAATCAAGAAATCAGCTTAAGTGCTGGCTCAGAGGCTCACAGCCTAAAACACTTTTCATGCAAGCCTCATGTCCTGGGTTCCATCTCTGGAAGTCACGCATTACAAAGAGAGAATAAATTCCAAAGTTGTTCTCTATCCTCCATACACATGTAATGGCATGTCCATATCTATGTACACATGTTTTTCAGGTAGAGTAATAATCACATTTATAGGAAAAAGTTGCAGGAAAATCAACCTCAGATATCTGTACAGGAGAATGTCTTCACCTGTGAGTATGATCGAGTCCTGCACATCAGCCCATAAGAAGGGGCATTCTTATTTATATAATATTGAAACCACAGTTCTCACACATATTGATCTGTAAGGTGGCTCTGAGCAAATGGAACAGTAATGTCTGAATCCAGCCATGACGGGCTTATGCTTGCCCTTAAATTAGTTAGAGTCCAGTTCCTGCACTTTGCTGAAGGACCTTTCTGGGATCTGCTTTGCCCTACCTCTCCTTTCTAGGGTTCACCAAAGTACTGGCCATGATTTATCCAAAAGTGCCCAAGGAAGGTACATTTTCTCAGCTTGAGAGTCTGTGAAGGCTGGAATTTATCTTGCTGCCAGATACAAAAGAGGCTGAGAATTCCCTGGTCCTGCATCATTGTTGAGGAGCAAATGAACTGGTTCCTGTGTCAGCTATTCCATTGGCTCCTGGGAGCAATCCCTCTTCCCAGAATCAAGTTCTGTTGACTCTCTTCCAAACCTCATTGTCATTGTTGCCAAGCCATTTTGGAGAGGCGGTTCTTGGAGAACAGAGAGCCATATGGAATGGAACTCGTGCTTCAGGCCAGCCCACACTACAGGATTTGCATAATGCAAACCACTGTCCACCATATCTTAACAACGGTTTTGGAAAATATTCATCTTTGGGGACTCTCTATGCTAAAGTATAGCAAATTTTCTGAACAAACAGCCTCAGAGAATGCCTTGGTAATCAATTCCATCAGTACTCTCTAAGATCAAATTCAAAAGGATGAAGCAATAGTACCATGCCCCCACTGATGCTCACTCCTAACAGCACATTATTCACTCCCTGAGGATGGAAGCCTTGTCTGTTTTCTGCTCATTATTATCATCCTCAGCTGAACATACTGCCTGTCAATCAGTAAATACTGAGGAAATGCTTTGTAGCTCGCTTCCCAACACTTCTTGCCATGTTCCTTCAAATGCAGAAAAGAACCCAACATAGAAAGACACAAGGAAATGGTGTGTTTTAAGGGTATAAAATCTTAAAAGTTATTTGTAATTGATAGCTGCTGGGAGAAGAAAATCAGTTTTCTGTGAGTCACACTGGATATATCTACTATACTACAGGGATGGCCCCATACTCAAAAGGTATTATCTAACATCCATGACTTTTTTTTTTAAGGGAGAACATGAAGTTGGGTGGGTAGGGGCGTGGGAGATTATCTGGCAGGAGAGAAATAACTATAATCAAAATAGATAGCATGAAATTCTGAAAGAATATATAACATTTTTTCCTAAATGTCAAGATTCAAATTCAGAGGAAGATTGTCTTGATCATGTTTATAAATATAATTACATTTGCTTTTAGAAATACTGATGTTGAGACATTCTATATTATAGTACTCAGAAACAAATTTATATATTATATACCAATAACAGGCCAATTATCAAAACGCACAAAATTCATCTAATAAGAATTATTTTATTAGAATTCTGAACAAAATTAAGGTCTAGAAGATATTTAGCAGAAGTAATGATCTATACTGATATAATGTCATAACTCTATTATCATAAAGCTTATTTCAAAATGTTGGTCTGACAGCTGAGTGCTTCTTTGTTCTCCATGAATCACAGATCAGAAATAATCGCTTTGTAGATGATTTTATACTAACATATGGATTAAGGGAAGGCATTGGGATTAGACAGAGTTTTATATCATTGTGTGATTTTGGTTCATTGAGTCTAAAAGTGATGGGTGTTTCAGTTGAGATTGTGTGTCTACAGGTGTAGTATTGTCCACATGATTGCTTCAGGGAATGTACAGGATTACTCTATTTGATGTGTCTTTAAATAACCATTGTGTCTGGTAATTTAAGGCAAAAAAGTCTCATTTGCTTTATTAAAGGAAATATTTGGCATTTGTATAGCATAACACTGAATAGTCTGGTGGGCCATACACTGTATGTAATGGAAAGTGTTAAGATCTAAATCCACAGACCATGGCTTAAATTTCAGAATATATAGTTAGTTATTAGTTATTCCAGTTAGAGTATAAAATCATAATTATTCAACTTAACACCTTCATTGGAGAATAGAAACACAAATCCTTCCATTCAAAATTGTGATGACAAAATATCTGAAATATGGAACTATCATCAAGCATGTTGGAGAGTAGAGAACCTGCCATTTACTTTCATCTGTGGGAGGAAGTATGAAGACCATTCACTTTAATCACACTGAAAATAGGGATAAGAGTACAATATGCATGCATCCTTGCCATTTATAGTATATGCTTATCTTTCGCAGTGACTAGGGATGGATCCCCTGATTCTCATTACATTTCATTGCTTCCTAACCCTCTGCCCTTGTGCAGTGCCCTACTTAGTTTTAACCCTAATTTGACACAACCTAGAAATCACCTGAGAGGAAAGACTGAGTTGAGTAATTCTCTAATCAGATTGGTCTGTGGGCATGCAGTTGGAGGTTATCTTGATTGTTAATTGAAGCAAGAGAGTCCAGCCCACTCTAGACAGTACCCATTCTCTGGGCTAACTGATCAGGAGCCTGAAGGATCCATCGAGCAGCATCCTCTATCATTCCTGCTGTCCTTCTTTGGTTGTAAGTTCTTTGGCCAGAGGCGATGCTATGCAATAGCAACTAGGCTTAAAATCAAGTTTTTAAGTTTGAGTTTTTGCCCTGACTTTCCTCAATAATTGGCTGTAGCCTATAAGCAGAAATAAACCTTTTCCTCCCTTAACTATCTTTGGGTCAGAATATTTATCACAGCAGTAGAAATGAAATTAGAACAGGCAGTGAGTGATTCACCTTTGTGAACCCAGTGTTCAGATCTTCAAACTAAATGGTTCTCACAATAAACTTAACAGTGTAAAATGCATAATAATTTCTCAATCCTAAATCAACTACAGCTGTCCAAAATCATGAACATCACCTCTCTAGAACATTCTGCTAGACACGAACATGGCACAACAAAACTCACCACCCTTTTGAATTTGCTTCTCTCTCCAGAGTTCATTCAATGACATCGAACTTTCTTCACATATCACTGAATTGGAGGTATATTTTTCTGAAACAAAGAAGGGCATTTGCATGGTAAATGTATATGTATTGAACATACCCATTACATTTAAGATGACCATATGTCCCCTCTACCTTTGTGCCATTCCCACCATACAGCAGATACACCATATGGTTAAACACATGTTCTTGGCAGCAATGTTACAATTCAGATTATGTAGCTACCCACCCACTATTTGCTCCTGTTAACTGCAGACAGCATTCATACATTCTTACATATGTCTTCTCATACTCATTAGATAAATTAAATACTTCAATGATTGTGTGAGGATTTCAGTCACAAAATCAAAAACCTATTTGCTATCTTCAGCAAACAGAACAGCACATAAACACACACACACACACACACACACACACACACACACACACACACCACCACCACCACCACAACCACCATCACCACCACCACCACCAATGTATTATAATTTCTTTATAAACCATGAGTTTTAGGTGTTCTTTTTGCTCTGTTTTCTATCCAATCCTGTCTCCATCATCTTTCCATTAATTTATTACTTTAGCATTAATATATAAACACCACTATTCTATATTCATATCTATTCATATGCATGCTTCTAAATGTATATATATATGTGTGTGTGTGTGTGTGTCCCCACAGATCTTCATATGTAGAAAAATATAATTCATGTAAAATATAGGTTCCTTATTTCTTGATTGAAAGTACAAATTATATTTCTTTATTATTATTATTATTTTATTTTATTTTACAATACTATTCAGTTCTACATAACAGCCACAGATTCCCTTGTTCTCCCCCTTCCTGCCCCCCTTCCTTTATATTTCATGTTTCACATCCTTCATCATCTTGTGTACATTCCCTGTGCCCTCAAGTCACATTTCAATAAAATTCTGGGATTTTTATGTCTGGAGATTCTGGGGAATCTTTTATAAATATTTCCATATAGAACATAAAATATCTTCTGTTATATTTGAGTCAATAGTCTTGGTCATATCATATGCCTTGCAATACACAGAGCACTGCTCTTTCATTACCTGATTTGTAATTTTTCCAACAGATCATTTGATGTTTATCAGGGATGGATGGAAATATCATAAAGGCATGGAAATGAGCTCAATGTTTTAACACTTTTGGGATATACTCTTTGTTTAGTAGCTGTGATAGAGAGAATGCTGTGATTGTAGAGCTAACTATATATCTAGATATTAAAATAGGCAGACACAAAAGTGAACAGAAATTAGATCCATTAAATAGCCAATGTTTATGATATTGGAGAGAGAACCAGAACTGCCCGTGAGTCAAGAAATCCACTATCAAGTTGGTCTCCGGGCCATGATGCTTTATCAGTGCAAAAGGCCCTTTTGTAAGTTGAAGAACTGGACAGTAAGTTGGAGTGACAATTAGGCCATCCTTAGTGAAAGTCTTTCCGTATCACATCAAGAGCATGTTACTTAACACATGTGGTTCATCACTTTATTTAATGAGTAAACATAACAGAAAAATGGAGGAAAAGACTTTTTACCATAGAATCTTCTGTATAGAGGAGTAGTATCCGTGCTTGTAATTATATATAAAATTGTAGGTTTCAGTCAGTGGTTTGTCTGGATAAAAAGGTACATGAAAAAATGTACCAGAATTAAAATTTCTAAGGAGAAAATCTGTGTAATAGATGTCTGAACAAATCTCTCTCAACTGGAAGTTAAATGAAATTATTTTTGTTATACATGGATGTACACCTAACTTAAACCTTGCAGAAGAGTTTAATAATCTATACAGTAGCATAACACATTGCATATGTAATAGAATGTTTATTCCCTTGCCACGGCTATCATTGCATATTGGGACCTTAGATGGAATGGACATACTGTTGGGAACAGAGGTTGTGCATAGATTTTGCCCACATAGTCTCCCTGGATATTGCTCCCATTGAGTGTCTAGTTCTCCAGTTCTAGAGGCAAAAAAACTGGTTCTCAGATAGTGCACTATTCTCCAGATGATCAAGCACTTATCTGCCTGCACAGTGATTCCATCAGACATCTCCTTTCATATGGAGCATTCATTGTGTTCTCTCTGGACCATGACTCTGGATAAGGCTGTGCTGCACTGATCCAGACTGGCTCCATCCCCCTCCCAGACAGCCTAACTTCTAATCTGCATAGCAACAGAAGCACAGCAGTGATTCAAGGTCTCCACAGGTATCAACTTGTCCCTTGATTTTCCTAAAAATGCTCAGTTGATAAGACCATAGGAAGGGATTTTCTGCACTCAGTTCCTGGATTGAACTGGTCGTCTTGCTTTGCAAGGATGTTACAATGTTATCCAGATGGTATATTCTCTAAATTAGTGCTCAATATGCAGTGCCAATTATTTTATTCAAGCAAATCTTCCTTACATACATATTGTGAGTAGACAACAGCTAAATTTGATAGTCCATTTTTGTTCAATTAACCAAATATTTGTTTTTAATTTTAGTTTCAAAATGTTATTTATTACAAAGCAACATATATGAACTGTACAGACTAATGCTTCTAGATCAAGGAAGATGTTAAACATATGGCTAAGTTTGGCAGAGAATCATAAAAATCACATTGCACAATAAATTCCAGAAATTATAATCCTATCCATAGTTCTCTTTCTTTGAGATTGATTCTTTTGGTATTCCAATACTGCTACAGAGGAAAATGTTCAAAAGGAATGTGCATTTGAAAAGATTTCATACAATAACAGAATTAAAATTATTCAGGTTTTGATTCTGCACCTTTGCAACGATGGCCTCGTAACTATTTACTTCACATTGGCTCCTCAATATCAGAAACAAACTCCATCCAGAGGTTTGCATGCAGGGTTTGCAGCAGACACAAGTGTAGTTGAGAAAAAGTTCTGTAAAAAGTGTTCTGAAATGAATGAGGTCAGCTGCATCATGCCAGGACTCCTTACAAAACTGAGTGATCTCCAATTTAATATCCATAACGAATATAAGTATTACCAAATGAAAAGTAATCAAAACAAACTCATTAAACTTTATACACTAATATCAGCTTCAAGAGAACAAAGTTGCTGGGAACTCAGCTGGTATGGTATTTGGGGAGAGAATTGTCTGATCATGTCTCACAAGCATGCATGGATACTGTGTGACCTAGAACTGGGGCATCTTCATTTACCTGTGCACATCTATCTTAAGTCATGAGTGAGCGTGTGTGTGTGTGTGTGTGTGTGTGTGTGTGTGTGTGTGTGTGTGTGTGTATGTACGCATATGTTAAGGTGGGGGTCAGATAGGTTTACATGTGTGTTCATGCCCCCCAGCAATATTTCCTTAAAACTATAGATTATTTTATTATTTAAATATTACTTACATTTTAGATAGCTTTATCTGTTACTTTTTCACTATTTTAACTTTTATAAAAAAAACTCCTGCATTTATGTCATTTTTTCAATATGAAATGAAAAAAATGTCTCCCTTAATATTAAGCATTTTAGAGTTTATATACCTAAACACAACAGATGTCTTATCATAGGTATTTATAAAACATCATTAGTAATTACATCATTCTGATATCTTATAATTTCATAGATCTTACTGGAAGGGTAATTATTGTTTCATAGTCTAAATAAATTCTTGAAACTTGCTCATAAATATCTTAAAAAGTAATTTTCAAATTTTCTTCTCTATGAAAGCAATTACCTCTGATTTTAGGTGATTTTATTATGACTGTTTTATTGTAAATGTAGTCATTTTTCTATGTCATTTATTTGCATAGAAAATTATATGTTTCAAGAATATTCTACTTTGGCTACAACTTACCCAGCTTGAAAACTTTTGAAAATGTACTGATGGCCTGATATCTTTCCCAAATCTAATGAAAAATATTTTTCAAAAGCATGAGCAAAGCATTACTATTTAAATGGAAAGTATCCCCAAAGTATTTTCGTATATAGATATAGCTGATATTCACCAAAGACATTATTGACTTAAAAGAGACTGAGATGTTGATGTCTGTCCTCTGTGATATAACCATGTCTTCAATGATAATTCTGTTAATTCAGAGTTCAAACAAAAAGGTAAGCCCAGAGGTACATTCTTTGTAATATAATTAATTTCTAGTGTGAAATATACAAATGCTTAAAAAAAATCTGTGTAGTTTGGCCTCAGCTGCCTGACCTGGTACATCATGGGGTATCAATCCAGACATACTAATTAACATCAAAAGGTGAGTAGACCTTCAGCCTTGCTTGATTTTTGCTCCAGGTAGAAATACTCCCAAGTAGGAGAAATGGTATGGTGTGCAAGTGTGAGTTTCTTATGATTAGTGTATAAGAAACGTATTTAATCGCTTGATTTTAAAAAACAGTTTCATTTGATCATTTCACATAAAAGTTTCCATGTCCCTGAAAAATTCTGGGGTCATGGGCATGTCTAATGCTATCCTTCATTGAGATCATTTCCATGAAATAAATTAGATGACTATGATTTATAACATCATGCTCTACCTTTATTATGATATAATCACGTTAAAAAGTTTTTGACTTTTAACTTTCTGCTTGAAAGTGGTCATTGAAAGATGAATATTTAAATGATATTGCTGATAAAGACTCTCTTTATTTGTCACCTCCTGATGAATAACCAATATTTTAAATATATTGAAGTATACTAACACAGGACTTGCTTACTTACATGCCAGGGGCTGTGAGTTGGAGTTTGAGACTAGTCTAGGTTACATACAAAGATCTTGTATCAAAAATATATAATGGCACATTTTTGACATTCAGAAAAATACTCATATATTTATTTGTACATGTTTCTATGATCAATGCTGGATTAAAATACTTATTTTGCCTTTATAAATAATTCCAGGTTTGTTTTTGACCCACCATTGTAAGTATTAACTTGGAAATATAGAAAAGAATGGTTTATCCTTTCTGATATATTTTATCTTACTTTCATGGATATGGGCTTAGTCTTTAAAAATTCAAGTAATTTTCCTGTCAGAAATCAGGTATGTCAATGTAAATAT